CAGGCATCTGCAGGGTAAGGAATGCGGCCCGCCGACCGATTTGAGTTTGACACCCCTGGCTTAGAGCATCACACGCCATAAATTCAGGTCTTACCTTCTCACCTGGGGCCTAACGACACTACCCAATCCAGAATACTCTGACGAGGACACCTGTTTTGAGCTCCCTTCCTAACCACGGAGTTCAGTCTAGGCCCGTACAGATACCACACAATCGATTGGTGAAACTGCGTACACTGTTTTTGGATTGAATTGGTACTCCCTCCTAGGAGCGATTCCATCAAGTACAGGCAGGACACCTTGTGGGTGGAAGGTTAAGTATTAATAGAACCATCCAACAACCATGTGGAGCATCAGGCTTGACATCTAGAGGATCGTCTGGAAAGCTTTTTTTCTCCGTTCTCCTCAGTAGGGGGGGTACCAATTCAATCCGAAAACAGTGTACATCATTTCTGCAGGTCCGTCACTCTCAGACGGGAAGACTCAGGGAACCAACTTAGAAAGTGTGGGTACTTGCTCAGATCTGGATAGACCCAAGAAATTCACCATATTCGAGCAAAATATCGCCGTCGTTCATGCCAAACTTAGTCTGCTAGTACTCCGGCATGGTGCGGAGGCGGTGTCTCCCGATCTGTGACGTCATGTGCGAATGCCAAATTTTTCGAGTAGTCTGTGGGCGTGTCTTTTTCTCCAGCCGCTAGCAGCTGCTAGCGAAAAAGACGCGTTGGCTAGGCACGACCACGTCATCGAATGACGTCACTCTTACAAGCAGCCGGCAGCGGAACATAGCGAACTATGGGAGCGCTGAGCAACTCAGCCCTAAAATGACGTCATGGGATGCTGGAGGCCTCAGCAGAGCTAGCTGAGCCGCTGAGAAAAAAGACACGCCCTGTAACTCCCTACCTATACGATGTGCATTGTTTAGTTCTACACGCGCAGCCAGCCTAGGGTAAACCTCTACCGTCGAGGCAGAAGAGTTTTTACCTTCGCAGCTCGTGAAGCATAACCACAGCTGTAAGGAGTGGCAGCGCTTGGGAGTATAAATACGGGTCCCTTTGCCAAGCTTGCAGATCTGACTTACAGCCAGCCATCTATTCCGCTAGCATCATCCTTTAACTCTGTTGTCCCTTATGGTGGCGCTCAGTCAAAAATTAAGTATTTCTGGGTTTCTTGTCATTACATTCTGAAAAGGGACCCAGTTTTTGGAAATGGGACACATGTGGCAAAAACAACTGCATATTTATAACGTTTTCCTGCTAAGTGGCAAGCATCCAAAATGAGTTCAAGGTTGTTCATTTTTTTTTATTTACCCAGCTTCTGCTTCGAACACAGCAATTCCAAAACCATCCAAACCATCGTTATAATCACAAGAAACTCCCATGCCATGAATCCATCAAGGGAATGCAACCAAGCTGAGGAAGGCAATCTGATTCACATATCACAAACAATTAAATGGATTAGTGTAAGGCAACATAACCTTCCAAAAGAGAAGTTGTTCATTTTATCCAGGTCACAGAAATGCAGTCAGATTAGAAAAATTCTCCTTGAGAAAATACATGGAAAGGGACAATTTGCCATAGGTTTGGAAATCCTTGTAGATAAATACTCTGCAGAAGAAAAGACACTGACATTATCACAGCACTCGCAAAGCATTCTTCACATTTTGGAAAAGTTTGCTAGTCTTTACTGACTGAAGTTCAACATGGACAGGGAGAACTGGGATTCATCACAGTTGGGCCTATGAGGTTGTTCCAACCTGCAGTTTCTGGAAACTGTTCACCAAGTCGAGAACTTTTGAAGTCCGACTGGATGGCCCTGGTTCCGGTACTCTCTGGAATGGAATTGAAGTCCTCACAACATGATCGAAACTGTCAAAATGTGCAATTTATATTTTTAGCAGGAAGTCTTAAACTCACAGAGAGGATGAAATCCTGACTAGACTTCTGAGGAATTTCTGGTGTCTTTCCGATTGGAGCTGGAACCAAGCTCTTAGCTCTCTTCCACGGCATTGGACCAGTGGTGAAAGCTTGTTCAAGTGATGTTTTCTTCAAAGGAGTCATGGATTCACCCCCATTCTTTTGAGTAGCCGATGGCACGGCATTGGAAGAGATGTCTGCTACGGTTTTGTGGAAAGGGGTAGGAGAAATGAGCTCAGATGATGTCTTTGGCTGGGAAGCTGGCAAGTTCCCTTCAATCGGGACCTTTTTGGCTGTTGACACGGGAGACAAGGATTCCGGCGACATCTTATGGACTGGAACAGCCGTACTGTCCCGAGTGGTAACCGTGGGCTCTGTTTGACTCCTACTCATCTGATACATCCCATCTCCATCAGAAGATATATCATCCTTGCTCTTCAGAGATCGTCTGTGGAAAATCTTCATCAGTTCAGATTGCCCATCCTTGGGCTCACCAGGTTTGCGCCTCAAATTCACAGGCTTTTCCTCCGATTGCCCCGATCTGCTGGGGTCTTTCTGCTGCATGACGACACCATTGTGCTTTGCAGGCGGTGAATGCTTACCCTCATCCGATTTCTGTCTAGGAAGGAAGGTTTCTTTGGCAATGTTTGCTGTGCTGGTGGATTCCAATGGCACTTGTCTTTCTTCATGTTGAAGCTTGTTGCTATTGTCTTCTTCTACTTCCACCTTCTTATCCTCACTGAATAATACGTGACTTGGAATTCTGGTGATTGGAAACAATTTCTTGGTCTCAGGCTTCTCTCTCAGAGGTGAGGATGATTTGGGATCCACATTGCTGTCATGCAGCTCCAATTCTCTTGGTTTTATGAATGGAGATATCGACATTCTCAACTTTTCCTTTTCAGCTGGAGATAGCTTTTCTGTTTGTTCTTTCTCTATAGGGTTCCCAGTTCTATTGTTTTGATTTATTACTTCCATGTCTTTCTGCTTAGAAATAATTTTTTCTGAACGAAGCTTTCGCTGCTTTGGGATGGGAATGGCAGAAGAAACTTCCGCTTTCCTTTCAGGAACAGGAACAGCTGGGCTACTTGATGGAACGACAATCCCCCGTTCTTGCATTCCATTCTCTGTTAGCTGAAGGTTAGGAGTAACCTTTTCATCTTTGAGGCTTGTTCTTAGTGGAGTTGGTTCATTAGATCTCCCTTTCACACTCCAGGGATGCTGATAACTATCTTTCCCATCAGGTGTTGAAACAGGAATAAGTGGAAATGACCTATCTCTCATGAGAGGTCCAACAGATCCCCGTTCTTGCATTCCATTCTCCGTTAACTGAAGGTTAGGAGTAATCTTTTCATCTTTGGGGCTTGTTCTTAGTGGAGTTGGTTCATTAGACCTCCCTTTCACACTCATGGGATATTGATGCACATTCAAGGGATGCTGATAATTATCTTTTCCATCAGGTGTTGCAACAGGAAAAAGTGGAAATGACCTATCTCTCATGATAGGTGCAACAGTTATAGCATCTGAACTGGGTTTAGTCTTCTTGGCCACAGGTGGTGGTGTCTTTGGGCTGCGGGATGGCAAAGCTCCTTCTGTCTTCAAAGGCAATGGTGCTGAGGTTTGTCTCATGAAGGCAGCAGGAATGCCAACTCTCTTGTGCTCCTTCTCCATTGAGATCTCAGGATTCTGAGCCTGGATGACCCTTGTGTTGATGAGCTCAGGTCTTCCAGATGTGCTCTTGTCCTCATTAGATGTAGACCAGAGGTCAAGGTGCTTTGGACGGGATGGGGTTGTCACCTTGTCCTCCAAAACCAATTCTCCATTTCCAAGTGGCCACATACGTTTCTGCTTCTTCTCATTGTCCTCATCTACTGATGAGACTCTCTGGAACATCATCTTCCGGTTCAAGAACTCATGGCTGTTTAATTCTGCTGTGTCTATCTTGGGGCTTTGCATGCTTTCCACCTTGAACTTGTTGATCTTTGCTTCTAAAAAGAGACTTTTTACATCCTGACCGTCACTTAAGTTGGATTGCTTTGAGAAACTGGGAGTAATTTTTTCTTTGCTTTCCAGCAAGACTTTGCTGATAGCTTCCCCACTCTTCAATGTGATATTGATATTCTCAGCATTCTGAATCTTGATCACAGTTTTCCCTGAGTCCTCCTTCATGGGGATGGGGACTTCAGCATTTTCATCTCCCTTCTCCTTTTCATCCTCTGGTTCTGGAGAACCATCTGTTGATGCAATAGAGCTGATGTTCTCATAGGATATTGTTCTCTTGCTGGTTCCACTTTCCTCAGACCGACTTGTAATAACACTATCAAGAGATTTTGGTCCAGAGTCAAGGCCATCTAGTAGTCCAGTGTTTCGCAAAACATCCCCAAAAAGGCTCCTCCTACGACTTTCAGTCGACTCCTCTTCATCCCCAAATTTTCCATTCTGTGTATGACCATTCATCTGTGGGGTTGTGGCATTCCATACCAACTGCCTTGTCTCAATCTTCTCATCCACGTTATTTTTTGGTGATTCAGCCTTGCCCTTCCATACATTTACCTCTTCCATCTTCCTCATTCTAACTGGTTTTTCTGGCCGAGGCTTGCTAACAATTTTTTCATTGTTTACAAAAGCAGGTAGGCTTGGAAGATGGGACACATCCAAGTCTTGGGGTTCTGTAACTCGCTTGAAGCTGAAGGCCTTCCGAACCATGGCCTCTTTCTTTCTAATGACTTCAGGTTGAATCATGAGGGATTCCTCCTCTCGATTTCCGTCTGCAAGGAACGAGGCTTCAACATGAGCAACCTGTCCAGAGGCAAGGGATGATGCACGAATGCGCACTGGAGATCTCTCCTCACTCTTCACAAAATGACTTGGTGCATCTTGGCCATACCCACCATTGGGATTAATGCGCTTGGGGACTTCTGTAGCAGGGGTGGGTGGAAGGTCTTTCTTTTTCTTTAGGCTCCTTCTTGAACCAAATATACGACTGAAGAAAGAGGAATCCTCATGCCTAGAGGTCTTCCTCCCATCCTCCTTGGGTGTTTCATCCTTGGAGTCTTGAATTTCAGGATGCTCAGGGCTTGAACCTTCTTGAAGGTCAATCCAATTCTCCTTCACCTCTTTCCATTCGCTTCTCACTTTAACAGTTTCCTCCACTCCTGAAAGAGAAATCAAATAATTTCCATAAACCATTACAAAGCAGACTCATAACTGACTTCAAGATGCAAGTTATTTTCTCTCTAGAATCTACTGCATCAAGTTTTATATAGGTATTCACTCTACAAACTAAAAACTTTAACATTCATTTCACAAACTTGTAGACTAAGAGATACTTGGGAGGGTCAGTTGATATCCAGACAGAATTTTTTTAACCTCATTTGAATGACCATAATTCAAATTACTACCCTATCCCATGTAGCATACATACTTGCATTTGTGAATTACATGTAACACAAAGTATGCAATTACACAACCATGGTTGCAGCAGCTTAGCAAACTGGCATTTTGCAGGCTGATGGGATCCCATCAACAGAAATCTAGAGCAGAAATGGTTACTGTATGCATAGATATTAATTTACTTTAATCTATCATGTGCAGATGAACTGTGCCCTGCCATTAGGAATAAACTTTTTTTGGCAATCCTCCTTCACAATAATGACTCCACACATAGGTACAGTGGCTTTGAACAAAGTCAGGCAATTCTTGGTTGGGAAAGTGATACATCTCTCTTGTAGCCTAAACCATGAAATGTGCTTTGAAGGGGAAGCAGTTTCATCAACAAAATACAAACAAGATGGATATAAAACATCCTGTGCAGTGGTGGTGTCTTTGGCTAAATGGGCAGGGGAAGAACTTTCAGATAATAGAGCTGTAGAACAGGGTAAATAAAATATTGTCAAGAGCTTCATTTGATCCTCACCCTTGTACATTACCCAAATCTGAATTTTTAAAATACACTTAATAAACATTGATGAAGTCTGTATACTGCCAATGAACAGAAAAAAGGGTTTATAGGCGACCTAAATAACTTCTAGAAATAACTTCCCTTTATTTCAAACTGAAGAATGATAAATTGAAGAATTCCCTCTCTACTAGAGAGCTGAGATTCTCAGCTTCATGATGCAAAGTTCAGCATTCTTTGATTCTGATTCTGTAGTAAAAAAATAAGGGGCTAATTCTTGTCCCACTGAAAAATTGACATTGCATTTTTGTCCAACTATAAACGAAATTCTAAAGACTATATTGTAATTAATATGGTGGCAGGAAACAAGCACAGGTAAAATACTAATTAAAGCGGGAGACAAAATGCAACGTTACTGGGAACAAAGGACTTCATATGAATAATCTATACATGAAAAACAGGAATGAATAAATTTTTGCTGCTCCATACTTCTAGATACTTATGACTTACTTTATATAACTCCGTTTTTAAAGATATTTATGATTACCCTATATATCACTTCCATATCTGAAGGATTTATCACATCTGGTCGCGTAAATGGAAACTAATAGGTGGAACGAACAAGCATTCTTGCATAAACACATGGTACCATACAAATGCTTCTGTGCCTATGTAAACAGGTTCCCTTCAAGATTTATGTCCAGTAGCCAGTGTTCAGGATGCAGATAACCTGCAGTTCAATTGTAGATGGAACAAGGTCGAAAATTTTTTGTCGAATGGCAGGAATGTCGACGTCATAAAATGTCGAAGGGCAGAATGGGAGAGAGCAGAAAATGCCGAATCATGACACGGCGGAACGGAGAAAATTTGAAAGTACCAGTAAGTCGAAAAACGTCATATGTGCTCGTCTACAGCTAAGTTCATTCTCTTTCCAAGTAGAGTTAGCCTTTGTCTCTTCTTTAGTTTATGCCGTCGTCACTCAGCAATCAATTCTTTCGGTGGAACTGCTTGAGTGCACGCCTGAAGGAACAGAACCCATATCTTCTTCAGGGCGATGTTCATTGATGGGCAGTGCCCCAGAGGCAGACCATGAGAGAAATCAATGTTCCCTCCAAAACCATGTAATGTGAGGGACAGAGTACTCGGAGACGAGCCTCGCATCAATAACCACATGGAAGGATGGCACAACAAGTCAGGGAACAGTTTGATCGGCGGAAACCATCCAACTATATTTCATTTCCTGGACGTCATTGCTGCGGAGCAGTCGGCAGTTCAGCAGCGACTGAGCTGGAAAGGGGAGAACCACCTCGAAACGAAAGAAATGCGATATTACCGGAGTAAGAAAAATTAAGGAGATAAGAGTATGATTTGAGGTCTTTGCTCGATTTCTTAAGAGGTTTGGCCTATACAATCAAGTTTTGAATCAATTTGACAATTGGACATTTGACTGGATCTCTGCCTCCAATTTCTTGATGTGCTTATTGACTCGATAAAATTTGATTCTGACATTCATTTTCCAGTCCACGACTTTGCCTTTCGCCTTTTTTGTCTTCGACCATAAGGACGTTCGACGTTTGTCATCATTCGACGAAAGAAAATTCGACATCGTGCCATTCGACCATTCGAGAGGATACCAGAGAAGGACTGCAAGTCCCTTGCTTATTATTAATAAATACCTGCAACCACAGAATGTTGCGTGCAGATCATACAATTCATAAAAATCAATATTTGTCTCGGTATTATTTTGATAAACGTTCAATTTTCTTGTCAATGCATAGGGTTAGGGAAAATGTTCTCAGGGCAATAGTTGGATACTGTTGGTGTTGAGACTATATGGGCGATGTCGGGTAGATAAACTTTTTTCTCCACTGAACACATATGCCGTCCAGGACCCCAAAATAAATGTCTATCAATCGATGGAACAATAACTCACTGGGTATAGCCTCCAAGACTGAATGTGTAGGCGGGGAGGTAGAGACATGCAGGACAGAGCGAGATGAAGAAACTCCTGACCAAGACTCCTCATTCACCTCTGGCATGGTCGGCAGGGCTGCAGTGCTAGTCCGCTGTATCAAGTATGAGCAAGGAAAAGTTAAATATGAATCTCAACAGTCGAGGGCAATGAAAGACCAATTTAAACGAGCCGAAATGCATGTACAATACCTGTTGAAGCCGCCTATTCCGTGGAAGTCCATGGGTCTTCTTGGGCCTCACGGCAATTTTGTGACGAGCAGCAGAGTGGCTCAATGGGGAACTGTCTGGTAGCTCCATATCCAAGTCCAAAAGAGATGGCACTGAGGTGGAAAGGAAAAACAAATAAACTCAACAGAGTGTGACCGTGCTTAATAACCTTTAAGAGCACATGGTTTTCATGTTTTGCGACTAAACACACCCCATAGGTGACGAGCGCCTGGGGACAATGTGGTGCATGCCCCCCAACAATATCAAGAGCATTGCCCTCCAATATTGCCTGGAGCAGCTCTTTAAAATAGACTCATATATCATATAACATGAAATATGGAAAGCTTCAACTGTACTCAGCTTGCAGCATTAAATCTCCCTTTACACTTGATGTTACAGACATTAGGGCGGTGGGTCAAGAGTTAATTGATGTTGGCACAATTTGCGATGATACTGATGCTAATCGATGCTATGATACGCCTCGAAAGCTTAAAGAGTATCTTGGACAAGAAGTGCTCCCCCTATTTAATATAAGATAAGAAGGGGGAAATTCATATCTCGAGAGCACAAGACGGAATATGTGCACCAGGGCTCGTCCAGGAGCGTATGAGAACAATTTTTCCCACGATTAAGTTGAAACAGGTTTCGATCATCCCAAGGGCATAAGCTAGAACTTCGTTACAACTTACAATGAGAGCATACTTGTAGATGACACTAATGTGAAATTTCATTAATGCCTTCAAAATTGTGTATTTCTTTCATCTGTGGCTTTTCCCTCGGCGAGCCAACTATAGATGTCAAAACGTTCACGAAAGTGTGAAGTTATACATTAAATGTGTCTGGTTTCTCAGATACACCTCCAAGTTGGAAGAAATTAATTTATTTTTATTATTTCATCGCTCATTAATAGGCCAATGGGCGTCCACTAACATTCCTAATTCAAACTCCTCAAGACATAGCATCAATAACTTCTCCCTCCCTCCGCAAATGTCTTCGAAAGTTCGAAAGTACCGACTCAGCATAATCTTTCATATACTGGGTGCATTCACTTGTCACCGGGGTCATGACACCGAGCACTGAATGAAGGCAGCGCTTTGTGTCACGACCACGGTGATAACTGAATGAACCACTCTCTTTGAAATGCAATGGCATGAATAGGATTAGAGAGTGAAAACAATCTCTGAGTCTTTGGGACTGACAGCAGTGGCACAATGCTCGGCAAACAAGCGGTCTTTCCATCTTCCTTGGAGTAGGACCAAGGTCCTCCCTTTGAAAGTCGAGAGGTTCGGCAAACTAGACTTGCCTGGCATTGCACAACAGGCCGCGTTATCAGTGTGTGTGTGTCTGTGTGTGTATGTGCGTCCCTCATTCAATGGGAGCAGGAAGAGGACATGCGATGAATTGTCATGAATAGAAAGGAAGGGCACTCGCTTCGTCGGAACAGAAGTGCGTGAAATTCGGGGAAGGGGGGGGGGGGGGGGGGACCACATTACGCGGCACGGTAAAAGCGGAGCGGCATGCCTGCTCTGATTTCAATTATCTGAATTGTCCAAAACCCAGAGAGCTGGACTCAACCAGCGGCGTAGCCAAGATTTTACGAAAGGAGGGTTGAATTTCTCTAACCTCCCCAATAAAATAACGAGGTACAACTTTTGAAGGGGGGAGCGGGGGGCGGATGCATATAGACAAAGTTGGGAGGGCTTAAACCATACTTGAAGGAGTTTCAGCCCCCCCCCCCCCCCTCGTAACGCCACTGCTCATTACAGTAAATATAATTACTACGATACACCTAGTTCCGGGTTAGAGGGAGAGAGCAAGGGAGAAACATGTGTCATTCAAGATTCGAGAAACTGGAAATGTCACGCTTCAATGATCGAGTTCCCCAGTCCTCCAGTCTCATCGTCTATCCCATTCGTAGTGATAAAAAAAAATCCTGTGTACCAATGATAATGCATTTCACGTACCGCTGTCTTGGCTTCGGTGATCCAGAAGCGAGAGTCTGGAGGAATGCCGAGAAGTCTGACCGAATCCGGAATCCTGGAAAGTGGAACAAAACACAACCCGATCGATTTGATTGATAGCTGATGAATTCAGTGTGTAGGAAGAGTTCAAGATGAATCCCGTTAGTCACCTCGTCGTGTTCGGAGCTGATTGCACTCATCAGAGAGCCCTGGCTCCTCCCAGCCATTACTCGCCCTGACACCTGCATCACGAGATAAAGCGACCTCAGAATGAGCTTCCATTATCTTGCATTGACGCCACTAGGATATTTTTTTCATCCCAGCAATAATTTGAAAGTAATGGATTGAATAGCCGAGTTTGCCGCCGGTGGGTTTGCTGTTATCGAGGGAAGGTAATGTCCTCGATAATGAGGTAGATTCCCCCGGGCAAACGTCATATGATGCCATTACGATGCCACAGAGATGAATGAATCCCAGATGACACACAGGTCCTCTAATTGGAAGGACTCCCATACAGGGGATAAAAACGGGATGGAGGTCACCCACCTGTCAGATTTTAAGATATTGGGCCGTGTCCCATACACTGAATACATTATACTTTATTGCACCTATGAGAATCCATCATTTCTGTTGACGCTACTTCTGAGGATGACCGAGTGATAGTAAATGCATTCAAATGTTATTCTATTTCATGGATACGGCTCAAATGTTATTCTTATTTCATGGATACGGCTCTTGGCAGAAGTCTCAGATACATGGAACACTTGAATCAAAAACCTCGAACCATGAACCTTTCCTCCTACTTTCCATATCTTTTTTTTTCCTTTGAGAGGCATGGTGCGAAGCGAAGAAACAAAGAGAGAAGAGAAAATGCGAAGGCTGGCAGCGCAAGCCAGTTCAGGAAGGGAAGAACCGAAACAGATATAATGGCCGGGCTCAGGAGCAATAGGCCCGTTCAATGCTTCACGCTGAACTGACCCCCATAGAGCGAAGAGAGAGAAGAAAAAAATTTATGGCGGACGTGCGACTGAGCCGAGTGAGGTAGAGTACCTCTTCGAAGCCCGCCTAGAACGGTTATCTCTAAATTGAAAACGACATAAGTCTCAAAAATAAGTGAGAGATGGAACGAGGAAGGCGTGACACTCATAATTACCTTATTCCTTTCGAACCGATTTTCCAGTCGAGTCAATTCCACAAGCGTAACCATTCCGCTCTGACTCCATCGATGCCTCGGCGATACCGCACCGAATGATGAGATATTCACAACTGTAGGCAAGATAGGACTACTGACGCTGTATAAGGTCTTCGGGGCACAGAAGCAAGATAAGAAGCCCGGCAAAGCGACCATACGTTGCACAGTAGTTTGCGGGCGGACTGACTCTCAAGCCAGAAGGGGGAATGAATGAATGGCCTAAGGGCAGGAGAATCAATGGCCCGAAGGGAGGAACAGTGAAACATCTTTCTCACATCAGCGGGAGAATTTCCAAGGGGGGTATGCACTGCGCACCCCTTGCATCCCATTTAATGCATGACGACACGGAAAAGAAAAGCGTGACTTCACGTTTTAACCACCCTCCTCCCTTAGTCCCAAAATGGCATCAGCCCGGATATGCTTTCCTCCGAAAGTTCAAGCTCATTCCTTCTTTATCCTTCTCTCTACGTTCTCTGCCCACCTTCGGATAGCTAAGGAAGCTGCTGGCTAACGTATGACGATATGCGCTCTACATAGGAACTGGAGGTCAGAGGGTCACATTCATTTCCGAAACACGTCAGGCGCAATATTTGCATTGCGCGCAAACAAACTAGTCATTGTGACTTTTCCAGACAACGGGGACTTTTTCAATTGGGCACGGCGTTCTTGAGGGCCACTACTAACTATATACTTTCCCTTGTTCCGACCACCTCCTTTGTTCACATTATGAGTTCACATGTATTTACGGAAAGGTGGAAGTTACTTTCCTCTCGAGGATGCGTGAGAAAACCCCCTTTCCATTTCCCCTTCTAATCACGTTCAATTCCTTGAAGCTATGAAGAAAAAAAAAAACGTGGGAAGGATTGAAAGCAAAATGAATCATTTTCAGCATTACAGCTTCGGAACCGACGGTCTTGCCCTGTAAGACGGCTTAAAGCATACGTTGGACAACTAATGCTGGGAAATAACGAGGAGTGAGGGGATGGACTCGACTGGTCAACGTGGTCATTGACGTGGATCGCATGATGCAACCGACTGACCGTGAAGTTACCACCGGTTACCATGAAATTACGCGAGGGATGAAGGAGGAAAGCTGGGCATGCGTTTCTGAAAGAATTGCAGTGAGAGATCTCAACTTGAACACATGACGGGTACGGAGCACCCACCATATTCCTTTCCCACAGCACGTCATTTCAACGCCCTTGTGATCACAGTTTTTCACGGGAATATTCTCCGAGTCTCCATCCACACCTGGGTGCATTCAACTCTTCTCCTGGCTATGTGATCTCTCAAATTCCCACTTTGCACTGGGTTCCCTTCCCACGGTTACTCAGGTCTAAAATTGCAAAAGCTTCCGAATCTAACAATCCCAGAATTTAGAAGCTCCATATGGACGCGATGAGGGCTGCTGAACACATTTACCAGCCAATCCATCATGAGTCGCTCCCTTGAACAGGAGATAGACAAGAAAAGGACTGGTGGAATGTCGGGCATTTCCTACCGTTTCGCCAAGGCCACACATTTCCATAAGGAAACCTGACGCTATCGAGGGCATTTTTTTCCTACGTACTTCCGTGTGTTTCAAGGCACATTTCGCACTTCGCCCTAGTCCCGAAACACGAGACGCCCGGGCAACGATAGCACGCCAACGGCGAATGACACCCAATTGAGGTGTTTCGAAATGGTGTTAGCGACAGACCAGGAAGCAATAGACAGGCGTCTTGGGGCGGTCAATTAGTCATCCGACCAAGAGGGGAGATTTACGTCCCGTCAATTTCAGCTGCATGGTAGGCCATCTGGAATAATCGCTTTTGTGCACCCACGATCCACCCATACGTTGATGCCTTTCATTTCCCTCGACAGCTTAGAAAGGGGAAGGACACGATGTCTCAATCGCCGAAAGAAGAGTTATTGCTGGCATCCGTGCCAGACTGCATGATACCCAATGGGTGGGCAACATCCCACGAAATGAATGTTCATTGTCCACGACCCACGATCCTCACCTCTGCATGCAGACCAACCACGAGACCGTCCAGTGTCGTCATTCGCAGGCCTACCGAATTTTTCCACTAACGATGGAAACCACCTACGCACATCCACGGAGTCCTTACGTACACTCGACCCACACGGAGACACGAACGACCGACATCCAGCTCCGACTGCTCCTCCGCGAGAACTGAACGGTGCGGGGGAGTGCCTGGGGTGCCTCGAAAAATCACGCTCTGTGAAGCGGCGTCTCTTTCACTCTTCCTCCACCACCTCTTTCTCGATTATAGAACAATGAGGCAAAGGAAACCACAGGCACATACAAAGTGAAGCCAGCGGCCTCTTCTTCCACCTCCTCTCTCGGAGGTTTCCTGCAACTAGAGCGCGACTGCGATGCATCGTTGCATAGGAAAAGGAGAAGAAAGCCAGTTCTTTCCGCTTTTCTCAGTGTTATGACGGCAGGGAATCACGCATTCTCGATGAATGAGAAAAGGGCCCCTAACGAGAAAACGGGCTGGGAATTCCTCAATCATTCACACATACAACAACCCGGTAAATAGGTACCGGTGCCGGTAGCTTCTCACGCCAAAACCGTTCCGTTCGCATCCGTAGGATTTTCCAACAAGAAAACTTTCTGAGGCACGACTGAGTGAATGGGAATGTACAGTAACAGACAATGACCTGAGAGAACTCGGCATAAGTTACCACGGTTATGTGCAACCCGAGTCGAGACGATTTATAAGGATCGCATGACCCTACGGCCCGAGCCGAGTCCATATACGATGCGATTGGTGATATTTATTACACCGACCGATTTCCTCTGTATCTAATCTGTCATATTCAGTCTCAAGTCGTATTGCTTGGCGGGAGGCCTTAGAGCGCTGTCGAAGGCGACACAAAAAGATAAGCCTTACTCACAACGCAGAACGTGAAGCAAACATAAGACATTTTATCTTTCACCAATTGGAATTTGGTCACGGAGTATATCCACGGTTACAATATTTATTCAAATGTTTATATGAGCGTGAAGGGAAGCGAAAGAGCTACTTGCAATAGACAAACTTAAAAACCGATGTCGTTCTTCCGTATGTGTTCCACTGATATAAATAAACGCAACTATAATGGACACACAACCGATCAGGACCAGTATGATCAGTCGACGTCCTCAACAGTGCATATCCTTCTCGTGCCGCCTCAGGACCTTCACGAAACCGAATTAGCGCCCGTCACCCCAGTTGATTTACAAGAGGCCAGATTTTACGACCCTCCTACAGCGGCAGGGGAGAGAAATAAAGGAAAAGGAAAAAAAAGAAGAACATGAACATAAAGTAAATATGAAGAGAGATATGTCAAAAAAATCTCCTGGCGGAACACCATAACTCTCATTCATAATCAGCAGTGACAACTCATTTGACGGATGCGAATACCATTGAGACACTGTCAGTGCACTCCATGCACAATGATTCAAGCCTCGGATAATACTCGTATATTAATACTGAGTGTCTAATAAGTAAATGCAGTCTCGGAAAACAAAGAGCGCGTAACTTCATATCTTCCATGTTAAATGGAGCCTGATAGCTACCGTTGAGTGGCCAATAACAGTATTTTACATTTACATTGAAAAGCTCCTTTAATGAGAACAGATATGCGATTCTCAGTTTTTCGTAACAACTTTTTTTTCTGCGACTACAACGAAGTGTTGCAAAATAAATTGATGACTAAAAAACTTCTTGAGAACAGAACAAACTTTTGGACTGTCTGATGTGCGCCTCATTAGTTTCAGTTTTTATTTTTTTGAGTCGCTAATACCACGGTGACACACCCATAACAAAGATACAGAATTGTCTATTTGTCATCTAATACACGCTGAGATCTCTTTAGGTATGGCAATGCCTATACTTTAGTCAGGCACCTCTTCAATCAAACACTAAAGCACCTCTTGAGTTTTTACTTTCACGTGATTAAGGTGTACTCATGATCGCGCAAGAGAATCCATGCAAGTACGATCACATCACGTTGAGTTTCAACCATCAAAAACGTATATACAGGACGCCCTAGAATTCCCGTTATATATACAGGTGTATTTATTATATATATATTTATATTTATTTATTTTCTTAGAGAACAATAAGGTATTGGGTATAGAGAACCCTCACCACAAAACCAGCAGACACCGTTCAATTAACAGATGAAAGAAAGAAAAATGAATGCAATAAACCAATGAAAAACCCCTTCGCTATGAAAACAAAACAATAAAAGTGACAGGAATTCTGGGGCATCCTGTTCTTTCCACACAATACCTTCCTTATTTTTCTTCTCCCATGCTGCTGCTGTCAAGCAAGGTTCATTATATAACATATGCATCAATACTCGAAGATAAAGTAAATGCAAAAAGGAGTAACTTTTTGTGAAATAAAATACATCAAGGAAAAACTTGGCAATCGTTTCCAACAATTCTATACGCGAATGCTGTCACAACCCGTCGATGTATGGATGCCACTTTCGACCGTGGAGGCAGCGATAAATATCGCGATAGTCCCCGACTCTCCCTTTCGCTCTCCCTTCCCCTCACGATCGACATCGGCGAGAAACAACGTTAAGTTGAAGCGCCTCGTGCACGGCGTTCCCTCAAGGGCGGTAAATGAATTCCCCGATACATCGATGTTTACAAAACAGCCACCGGGTCAGCCCTAAGCTATACATGAATGACTGAAATTCCCCTCTCTCTGTGTTTTCCTGTGAAAGGAAATTCAACTACGGAATGGCTTTCAAGAAATCAGAAGAGAAAAACACATTAAGATATAACAATTCCATGCAGTCTACCATAGATTTTACGGCGATACTCGGCTCGAGACATTTCAAAGTCGGTCCCAGTCGTTTCAATATCTGTAGTACTCTTCCAGCCACTCTCTGTTCTGGTTCAACTTTGGCAAGAGTTCCTTCGACTTCGGCAGCACAAGAATCTCTTACTTTTGGGGATTGAATATTGTACGAGGCGTATGCATGGAAGAAGCAAGTGCTCCCATGTCAAGAGTTACTTTCTGGGTGCAGAACATTCAACCGATAAAGTCCTCGTCATCTCGAAATTGCCTTCTCGTTAGGCAGGATCAAAGGAACAAGGCTGTTGTAAATTCTTGGCAAGGTCATAAATATCTTGTCTCCGGTGTCATTCAGAGGCAGTTGGGGTTGACAGATTGCCAGATCTCATTCTGATGAATGTCGGGTTCAAATTTTAGTACATGAGCCTGGAGCAGGACGGTAGGAGTCGTCAAGTCCGACCTCTGTTCATCTCGTCAAAATTTAGCTTCCGGCTATTTTGGGGACTGATGACAACCCATGCTCCATTTAGGATCTAATCAATGCCAATTACCATCACCCTTTGCAGATAAGATCAGGACGGATATAAAAACCATTCCAGCTGTCGCGCTCTTTGTGTATGGCGAAGCGAAGATATAGTCTATCCGGCAGCAAAAGACACACTAGCTCGAGAACAAAAGGCTTGATGAATGGGGGAAAGGAAAGCTAACCAAATTGAGACATATAGCTGGGCCCCGTTCCACAGAATATTTACAAGATATTTACAAGATCTTGATCGCCTAAAGGGTCAGCGGGACCCGCTGAAAGAGTTTAACAAGAACACATGACCCTTGCAAGTACTTATGATTTGTAGCTTGTAAATCTTCTGTGGGACAGGCCCTTAGCCTCGGGTGAATCATTTCATGGCAAAGGGTTTATGACATACTTCAGTGTTGCCATAAGGACAGCAATTTTCAGTCAGCTGAGAGACTCTTCAGGAAATTCGCGTGCAATCTGTGGCGTCCATTTATTTGCTTTCGAATTCTCATTACCTTTACAATCAGAATCATCTACGCTGCTATCATTGGAATAATTACCGACCTATATACGATTTATGCGAATGAACACGAATTTCTAAAAACTTGGCTTTAGAGGAAAAGCTTTCCATCCTCGATGTCTGAGGAGAGGAGATTAAGTAGTATATGACCTTGGTCATAAAATACCACTTAGACCTATAATTTCGAAGCCCCAAGTGTGACTTTTGACGCCAGATAAACTGCATAATGTTTGTGCATAGTAGACAACGAGAAGCATTTCCGGGGGAGAGGGGTCATGTGCCCAACTGCAGTTTCCGGAGCAGTTTCTCTATTCGACTCTAGCAAATTTTGTGCTGATCGTTCCCTGGCCTCTTTGAGTTTCAGATAGGCGCCTTCACAGCTGCCTTGAAAGGAGTAAGGGTCTGAGTTGTGAGCCCCATGGATCTAAGAAAGGAATAAATGCGAACAGGAATTTCATGCGACGTTAAAATTCTCTGGAACGGAGGCACGTTCAGGGTATCTGGCTGGCATCGTAAATGATGACAAAAACTGGTTCGTCTGGTGGCCAAGACATACGCCTATGTCTCATGAACTCCTCGAATAATTTATGAAACCCTGAAGATGTGGCTTGCTTCAATTTGGCAGCAATCCCCTTTCTGGAGATAGGAAGAGGATACAGCATGTTCGAGTTAACTGAACCCAACGTCTTCTTGCTGCATCAGTCTCGTGCACAAACCGCTTATATCCAACTGGAAAACTTCATGCACTGCCACCAACAGTCTGATGCCACGCACTCATTGGGTTGGCTAGCTGAAGTCAAAAGGAGCTCTGCCGGAAATGAAAGTACAGTCGTTGATATAAAAACGACTGTCGCCGAATAGAAATGGGCTTCTGCCGAATATCGTCAGGAAAACTCATATCAACCCACTGTACACTAAAAATACAGCAGCGACTGCAGGAAAACAGCACTATCGTGAAAAGTGGAAGAAAGAGACCACCTCATAGCAATATGGGCAAATAATTAGACAAGAGACTTCCATTCAAGGACAGACACGGATAACTTCATGGCCGCACACAAACGAGAATATCAAATGTTCAGAGTGGCAAAATATTACAAGGTAGAGAGAGAGTGCAAAAAGGAATTAGTATTATTTTTATCAGTTCATCAAACTTTGACATATTCATCACACTTTCAGGATAGGCTTATATTCATTGCATTTCCATATGAGGGAAAGTGGTGAACAATGGTTTCTAAATGACGACAGAATTTCCAAAATTGTAACTACTTTTGCCAATGTATGGTGGAAAATGATGACATTTACTGATAGACACAAATAATAAAGACCACCTTCAAGTCCTGACTGTGACAGGCATAGTGAAACTTGACAGGGCATGGAAAGCCTAATGTGTAGGTCTAAATTTGATAAAACACAAAAGAAAGACTTGCTTTAGTGAGATGAGGCCCATAAATTTGTACACCTACAACAAACTATTCATTAATCTTGCAAGCCCTCTCCAACCATATTATCAAAATGATGCTCTTGGATGCCCTTGCAAAATTTCATATAACAATAGAATGGGAATGCCTAGAGGCATTAACAGAGGCTATGCATGAAGCTACTTCAGGGGAGATACTACATATAGCAACAAATCTCATCAAAACTCACTGCTAAGAATGATGGGTCATATTTTCACCTGATATTAATAACTGAAATAACCCCAATGGACAAGGTTGTGCCATCAACTGGTTACCAGCCTCTTTTGGTAGACAAATGATAGTGATTTCTCATCAGAGAAAATATAAAAACCAAATAAGAAATACCACACAACTTCTTTGCATGAGTTATGAGTCACATCCTTCAAAGAGACATTTTGCTAGACTAATTGAAGTAGGGAAATTTAGCCCTTTAAATTCAACCATGAGGCCGATTTTTTGGCCATGGCTTTTCATTAGGTTGCTTCCTTCATGTAGTTGGGGTTTTTGTTGCTAGATGTCATAAAAATCGGCCTACAGCATTTTTGTAAGCTAGGGATGTCGCCGAAAAATTGGTTGCATGACATTAAAAGGGTTAAAACAACAGGTCATCAATATATTGATGAAATAGATATTAGAATCTTGTGCCAGAAAGGTGGTTTTGGAATGGAAAATGACAGCATTTACAGAACAATAGCATAATAACTTTTTTTTAAAGATAAGATTAAATAATAGGCAGCAAACAATCAAGCAAGGAATAATCAGACCCATAAGATTATGTATCCTGACAATGCAATTGGGGAAATGACACTGCAGTTTAGAATTAGCACAAAAATGTTTCTTAGAATACATGCTACTCTGATGGGAGTAAAAGCGCAGCTGGCTGCATATAACATAGAAAACTCTGTGCGCACCCAACATACAGTAGCATGTCACATGAAAGTCATACTTATACAAACATGGGGGAACCCATATCTGTCTTGGGTCAATGCACCATACAACTAACTTCTACCTCATTGCATCAATTCTATTCCATTTGTTAAATCGCTGAAAATGAACAAACATAACTCCAACTGGGCTGCCTTGACATGTAATGAGGAAACAAGTGAAACAGCCTAAAATAGATCACTCATGCCCCATACCCAGGTGGAAACAACATTGAAACAATGTTCACCTTCAACCCTCAACATTTGCACACACAATCCACATCCAATCAATGTTGATTCAATGTTCTGTGTTACCTGGGTATTTAGTCAACACAGACTGAATAAACTGGAGTTTGGTCTTCACTTAGGAACACTAATTTTCAGTTTGATAGCATAATCTTGTCTCCCATTTCCAACATGAAAAGATTAAGTCTAAGATGTAGAAACTTGTCATGCTTTAGGACTTCCAGTTTCCTTTTATCATGAAAGGGCAGTACAAGTGATGATGAAAAGCATCAATTCATGAGTAACTGCCAAGAAATTGAATCCTGCACAGATGTAACAAGAGCAGTAAAAAATAGTCATAGATGAGAGTGGAGATGTAAAAACCTCCTTCTCTCAGGAAGCAATAGGAATCGAGGTGAAATTGAGAGAAGACATGATTCACCTTCCCCAATTGCCACATTTCATTTGTTGAAAATGAAATGTGGCAATTGAGGAAGGGGAACCAGTTATTTTGACCAAAGCTAACAGAATTTTCCCACTTAATTAAAAACAAAACAAAAAACAAAAAAATATGTCCATGTTGAGAGGTGAAGACATTTCCAGTTCTATGACTCTTCACCAAAGCTCCACTTTTCCAATTCAAGGGCAACGAAGACCAGCACACAGAGTATCTTGATTACTAAATGGCTACAGAACACAACAAATGTCTTCTACCAGGATCTGAATCCAGGTCTTCTTGTAGGCAAGTGCCCTAGCCAAAGTAATTGACAGGATCTGCAAGGCTGCATTACAACAGCACCAAGAATTTAAAAAAAAAACCAGGGATGAAACTTAAATGAAGAGCCACAGATGTCTGCATCCATGTTGAATCTGAGAAATAAGTAGACCATGTAGAATCCTACCTTGTCACACTCTGAACTTATTCTAACCCTAGCACATTATATCAACCAATGACCTATCAGAAGAGAGAAGGGTGTTTCACCTAAGTTCACTTTGATACTTTCTGTAGGAATGTGAATGCAAGTACCACCAAGCACTAACAGCATTTCATAGATAACTCACAAAGGAAAACAGGACACAATGGAACATGCAGTTATGAGAGGTGATCTAAAAGTTTCTGCCACAAGGTAGTAGGAATGTCAGTGAAGGTGTTCAAGCATTTTTAGTTGACCATAGAAAATGAATTTTTCCAATAAAATTGAAGCCCTATTCCATCAATCAGACAGGAGGCAATGATGAAAAATAAAATTAGTTTAGTCTAACACATTCCCTTATATCCCAGGGCAGGAACATTGGATCACCCCTCATACCTACAATAGCACAATCTTCAAGAATAGGAACATCCACAAGAGCCTGATAAGATAAGAAACTGGTCTATGGCAATCAACTTCGGAGATGCAAGGTATGAAAGGGAAGTGCTTACGAGAGGGGGGAGGGGTCGTGAAGTGAGAGACTGATCATCTAGGCTTTGACTGCTTCCTCTTGTAGGCTCTCCAGAGAACACACTGTCCTGGGACATGCTGAGGCTCATCCCTGGTGGCAATGTGGAACTCTCCCTGTTCAAATTGATAATTATACTTCAGGATATCCAGGCACCAAGTCAACTCCCTCTATGTAATAGGCATGGTCTCATGGATGAGCAAAACAGTTCATAAGTAATAAGAATTTTCATTGCTATTGTCAAAAATGACATTGATGACAAAACCTTTTACTAAATATGTAAGAATATATCATTTTCACATATACTTTCATTTGAGTACTGGCTCTGGTTGTAGACCTATAGGATTGTTTTCCAGTAATGGCAAAAAAACCAAACATCAATACTATGGAGTATAAAAGCGATTTTTTAAATCTGAAATCATGCATTTAAAAAAATTTAATCTCAATGACTTTGAAAAGTCATTGTGTTTTAGCACAACTGAAGATTGTTTTGAAAAAAAAAAAAACAAAGCCAAATTAGTAGTGTGCATTCCTCACATAAACTCAAATAAAAAGTACATGATAAATTATTTGGATAAAAAGGGGATGGTAGCAGTATATATGAAATTTTATCAAAACAGATGACAATGGCATGGGTTGGGATGTAAGGACAACCCAGTATGCCTAGCAGGGATGTCCAATGCTCCATTCATGAAACCTTGGACTCCATGAGGGTTAACAAATTTAAATTTCACTTCATAATTTTTTTTTTATGAAATGTTTCAAAACAAAATACCCAGAAAGATCTCAAGCCTACCACACTTTTGCATTATGATAAAAACTTGGCAACATTTAAAGCCACAGCATTTCTACAAATGTCAACAAAAGAATTTTATCAACACAGAAGCATGATAAATGATTAGATATGAAGCATAACTTCCTTTCCAGAGCAAGGAAGTTACTCACCAAGGGAAAAAAATGCATACACATTCATAAATAAACCATGCACCAAAGGCTCTGCACTTACTTGGACCCTGGGCTAGGTTTGCACTCTATCTCCGGTTTACCATCTTTTAACTTGGTACTCTTCCTCCTAAAAATTTGTTTGGCGATTCCTCTCAGGGTGGCCAGCTTGCTTTTTCTTCCTCCTGCAGAAAGAATGTAAAAATTAGGCCAGATATCAAATCAGACTTATAGAGAAACTGCATTCTCAATATTGACTGTAGGTCCTATGATAGCCCTGTACCCATTTTTTTAGATCAACTCACCAGACCCACTTGGCTCACAGTCCTCTTCAGCCATTACCTTCAATTGCCCTGTTGCCTTTGTCAAGTGATGAAGTCAATATTAAAAAAGTAAATACAGGATCCAAGGATGGGGCTACTTAGCCTCTTTGAATGTCATTTTCAGGGCACTCAGGGTAGTTTAGGCCAAAAGATCTTGCATGAAGGCAGACTGGATCTATGAAAAAAAAAATGAAAATGAAAAACTCTTCAGTTCATTTCAGCAAAACAGAGAATACTGTCATCAAGGGGATAGCATAGATTCAAATACACTACATTTTGCATAAGCCACAGAGGAATCTCCAAGGATCTTAGGTCTAGGCCTCGCCAGGGGTGGGGGAATGAAATACAAAATAATTTTACATGTAAAAACAGACCTGTCCCTTTCTTCAGTAATTTAGCCATGAATACTACTTTTCTCTGCCAGTAACCATCTCAAAGCAGCTGTATAGCATGGAGAACACAAAGAAAAAACTGAATCCAGAGCAAGCCAGATGAAAGTGAAAAACAGAAAAGCCTTCAAATTGTTTTTCCTGGAAAGATGTCTTGGGTCTAAGCCAATTTCATTTGGCAACCACAAGACTGCAACTAAAATAGTAAGCCAATTTGTAAGCGAACGCCCATGGCCTATTAACTTTTGGAAAAGTAACTTTTACACGTGGCCCTAATTGCATAACTTCATTTTCGAAGGTAATCTTATCTTAGGCGTTAGTTTACCCATCTCTGGCTTAGCCCAAAGTCTCCAGCTGAAGTGAGCTTAGCTGAGGTCTATGCAAGACCAGACTAGCCGAACGTAAGCTTAAGCGAAAACTAACCTATGTTACAACGCTTCACTGCTTCATTACAACTGCTAGAGTAACGAAACGGAGTCAGAGCATGGACAGGAAACAACGAGTTCGCAAGAAAAGACCACGAGTTGCATGCGGATGGCCATGGATGTGCATTCTGATGACGTCACAACGACCATCAACAAAGCACTCGCGGGGCACATGTGATAGAGTATCCCCTCGTTCCCGCTGCACCGCGGTCCACTGCTGGGCATGGGGAACCGGGTCCCGCGGGTCACTTTCGGGGAATGGCCCGTCTCTATCGCATGCCATCCCAGTCCATGCATGCGACCAAGCGCGTTGGAAGCGGGGAAGCCCTCCCAACTCACTCAGGAATGTAACTCATTCAATGCGCAATACATGCTTGTTACCTTTCCCATGACTACTCTGGAAGAAAATCTCGATCGATTATGTGAGCACGGCATCACGCGGCGAGTGTATGATTGTGGGAATATGGGAGAGTTCACGGAGTCAAGTGCTTATGAAAGACTGGTCCTTGTTTCGGAGCATTTGTTTCGTTGTACTCGATATCATCTGCAGTGGAACGAGAAACGAAAGAGTATCCTGCGATACCGTATCCTCTCCAGCAGGTAAGCATCGCGCACGGCACATTTTTACCTTCAATGTCGTCGCTATTGAAAGCAATTTCCTTCGTCCATGAAATAAAACCCCATTCGCACCGGGAATAACGGTAGCCTTCATGAATTATGGGCTGAAATTTAGTGGATGCAGCTGACGCCGATCGCACACTTAAACACGGGCTTCCTGCGTGACACGGTCAAACTTTCCACTCTCGACACCGAAATGTTGAATGCAGCATCGGAAAAGAATTTTCTGGCTCAACTACTACTTAAGACCATGACCTCTCCCGTCCAGATGGAAGATAAAAGGATTTTTGTTCCTATGAGAGAGCCATGTGACACGAGATGTGCAGGGGACCGTGAAGCCTTCGGGGTGAAAGAGAGCAAAATCACGGCCTCATTGGCAGTTTATAAATGCGCCCCGAGGGGCGAAGGCGATGACATCAGCGTTATACGACTTGTTTCTTCCACCTTTTCTGCCCACGCGCGTGCCACCCGGATATGGAAACGTTTTTTGCCCCGTATTTATCGAACTTCCTCATTTCGTCGATCGTCGGATGCCTTCGGCGTTTTGGGGGAATCTGCGGAATGCCGGGCTTTCATGGATCGCGGGCGGGGTGAAATGCGAGGACGGCCTCGCGGTTTCGATCGTAAAACTGGGATATAGGCCTCTCTGGTTGGATCAACATGAGAGACAGGTGCTCACCATTGGAAAAAGAAAGAAAGAAAGGGAAATTACCCGGACTTGGAGCGGAACACGAGGACCACGCCCGATACGAGGTTGGTATCAGAGGGGAGCTTAATGGTTCGACGGACCATAAGACCGGCGGTCAAGATGGACAATAGGACCGGCGGTCAAGGTGAACCATAAGACCAGCGGTCAAGGTAGACCATAAGACCGGCGGTCAAGATGGCCCATAAGACCAGCACTCGAGATGAACCACAAGATCAGCAGTCATGGGAAATCTTTAGACGACAGATGGATGCGGGAAAGAAGAGAAAGCCGAAAAGGAAGTAAGAAAAAGAGGGGAAAAACGCTGGGAGAAACATGCGAAGATGAGAGGGTGGGAAAATTCTCCGTGGAAAGCTATTCGTTCTACCGAATCTTGGGGCTATTCCATCCCTGACAGACAATACGAAGACCGGAAGCAGCCAGGATCCGTGTCGAGGCGAGACCGGAAAACTTGCATCTTCATACTTTCCACCTTGCATATATTTTTCCTTCGTATTACTTCCTTCGTGATGGTACGAGGACAGAGGCGAGGAAATTGTGTTTACGGTTCTTGGGGCTGAATCCAAGACACGGTTGTTGGTGCACTCGTTCCTTTCTCGCTGGATCAAGTTTCTAGCGCTAGCTTCAGAGCATGTCTCAAATTTAATACAAACGCCGACATTTCAAATGCATGAGTCCGAAACATAAAAGTTTGCATAACTTCACGAAATACATTATGTATAAATATGATTTTAAATATGTACAATATATTTAAAATAATAATAATAATAATGATAATAATAATACATTTTAAATCTAAAAATTCAGGAGCGTGAAAACTTTTCCCGGATCAGGAACACATCAGCAAATTTTTTCATCCGCAACGCGACTGACCCTAATCTCGCGGATCCGAAATAGAGGTCGTAAAAAAAACACCTGTTGCCGTCAGTTGGCGTCCACGAGGGAGGGCACTCGGCAAGGTTTCCATTAAGACCACGATGAATATCAAAATGAAGACGGATATCATGATTTCCAACAAGACAGAGACAAAAAAAAGCCCCCCAACAGGAAGAATGGCGGCGGTGACTCACTGGCGACGGGGGGATTTCGCAACGACACACGGCGGGACGTGAGCCCTTGCATAGAATTCGCCCGATGTGGAGACGGTCAATGCGCAGAGATTTCGAATCAAAAGCCAAGGGATTACAATGAACACAATGGCTTTGTTCTGCAACACCGACAGAGTGAAAACGAAACTGAAGGATGCGGAATCGCGGATGGACTGGACGTCGCACGAACACGGCGCTCATCGACCGTGAAAGAAAAGGAAATTCCCCAAGACGATCCCACCCGTTCCCGTCATCGCGGCCTCGAATCACTCACGACTCCCCGCACGTCCGCACACGGAACGTAAACGAACCCTGCGATAAGCGAGGCATAGACCGGAGCCGACCGGAATATCGTAATGCAAGGGAGGAGATGAACCGAGCGAGAGTGGATGGCACGGACAAAGGCGTTGGTCGTTCGTTCACCCGACTGAAGACGACGTAAGCAGTCTCCTGCCTTCTAGCCCAGAGCAGACTGGATAACGATTCAGATGAAGCAGAGCACCTTCTTCCTGCCTCCCTCCTCTTCTGTTCGTATGTGTATGTATGTGTGTGTGTTCGTATGTGTATGTATGCGTATACGTGTGTGTGTGTGTGTGCATGTGGATGCATGTGTGTGTGTGTGTGTCTGTGTGTCTGTCTGTCTGTGTGCGTGCTGTACACTGCATTATCAGATGAGGGAGCCTACATAACTGTTCTTTTCCCTCACCCCCTTGTTTGGACCGACTCCAAACGGAGATAATGCTCGTCTCACGTCGCACCAACTGGCCATGATTCAATCGGACGCGAAACGGGATTGGTGCGCGAACGGGATTGGAGCGATTGTTAACGCGAGGGGGGCCAGAACAGGAAATACCGATGCTGACCCGCCCAGTCGAATTTCCGAGAGAAAAACAAAAAAAAAGTGGGATGGGCCCGGCCGAACGAATCAAAGCTTAATAATTTCGGTGGTTTCCTAAATACGGAAAAACGTGTCAAGGACCCTCGACTGCGACTAGTGAGCCAGTGACACCATTCGTTATTTACCGGAAATAAAACACAACACGCCGCTCGAGCGGCGAGACGGTTCTGCAATCGTTCGCCACAATGATTCCGTTGCTATCTCGGATGTTAATGCATGAAGAATCAAAGCGGAAATGTTGCAATGCCACGAAGGGGGAGCACTCGAAAAACTCGACGACAATGAAGGATTGAAAGCAAGAACGCGATGAGAAACGGCCCATGACAAAGGCCGAGAAACGGAGGAATCCGATAAAATCTATCCATTAAAATCGGGCATATACGACACGTAAATATGCAGCATGAACATGTGATGAATATGAAATCACTCGTGCGCATCTTTCTCTCCTTTACGGTCTCGCGACATGAACTGGTTGAGCAAATCGGACTGGTTGACCCTCTCAGCTCGGTGCCACAGGAGAAGAAAAAAAAAATCGGCAGAGATGTGCGGCAAGTTGGATGAAAGATTAGATGGTGCATTTTCTAGCCTGGTCCTCAGTCATTGCATGCAGTGAATTCCTTTTGTCACCTCGGGAAAATCAAATTTCTCGACTTACTCTGGAACTATCCCGATTCACGCCAAATAAAATCTCGCAAGAGCGATCACCAGAAACGAAAACACCCCACAGCCGAATCGACGAGAGGATATCGCGTTCGAGAAAAAAATATATGCCAACACGCTGCGGGGATCCTAACCCCAGTGATGACACAGATATCCGAAAGGTACGATTCACAAAACAGTCGCACGCCGGGGAACCCAGAAACGGGGCTAACCGACACCACGTGACACCGAGTGCAAGTGACACGCCCTCCCCCGACGACAGAACCAGAGAGACTCGTCGGGGAGGGACGGACTCCCCCCCTTTCCCGAAACGGCGCGGAGCGCCAGCGATAATGCAGATGTCGCTTCGGTTGCGTCATCCATACAGCCTCTCCGGTGATTCACATCACGAATTCACGTCACTTTTATCGCCGTGCAAGCGAGCAGTCGAGAGTTTAAATCCCGCGAGAGAAGCGAAATTAAGTCGAAGGAGGCCAGGAAGTAGAAACTCATTAGGAAATCTCCGTCTCGAGAGCCTGGGAAGCCATCTCCCACGGCACCGATTTCGCTCCCGCCTGCCTTCACTGATTTCACTCTCTCTTACCTCATTCTCCGGGTTGCCCTTCTATCTCTCTCGGCGTCCACTATCTCGTCCACTTGGATTGCTCATCACGGGAAAGTTCTTCTTATCATCCCAATAGGAATGCAGCAGGGGAATAAACAGAGTTTTATTGCCGCGCTTTCCCTATCTCCAGTGCATTTGTGTTTTACGCGGAGTTTTCGGGTCCTCTCTGCCTTCGTCGAATGACTCGAAGCATCTGTTCTCTTCACTTTCCTTTTTGCCTCGATTTATTTGCATCAACAGAGAGATGCGGAGAAAGGGAATGAAATCTCACGTCCATAAACGGAATTAATGGGCTGAGCGCATGAGATCGGTTTAACTTACATTCGTTTG